TAATTGTGTTTTAAACTTTAGGATTTTTTGTTTTTGTTTTTGTTTGGGGAACCCAGTACTGGAGAAGCTGCCTAGAAGGTGTGGGGAGGTATATAGGAGACATTTCTGCAGAGGTGAGGGACTCCACAGCCCCTGTTTTTCCAAGTCCACAGGACTGTGTTCCTTCTCATCAGAGCAAATCCCAGATGTGGGGTATGTGCCCAGTAAGAAGCTACCTAGGATTCCAACACGTGTGCACCAGAATCAATGGAAGTATTTCTGGAGATAAGAAGTCTCTGGAGAAAACACCATCCCCTGCAAAATAGGACCGCCCAAGTTCCAAAGGAGCCAATAACTGAAGGCGAATAAAAGAAAACACTTAAAAAGGATCAACACAATTGCTAGTTTCGTTTTTTTTTCTTTTTACTTGAAAACTTGTTTTAACCATCAAATTTTGGCAATTACAAACCTGTACACTGTTGGGTTTTTTTTTTTTTTTTTTTTTTGGCTGTCTTTTTGTTGTTGTTGTTCGGTTCTTTCTTTTCTTTCTTTCTTTTCTTTTCTTTCTTTTTATTTTTTTTTTAGAAAAAGAACACAAGACTGAGTACTGCCAACAGCAATATATGCAGAAACAATCCATCTGTAAGGGACAAGGCTCACTTGAAGTGCTAGCTTTCCCCTTTGCATAAGGTTTGGTGTGTGGTGTGTGTGCAAGTTTAGGGGAGTTCACATGTGCGCGCGCGCGTGTGTGTGTAAAGAAATGACATACTTCATCTGAACCTGAAATGGCATAAAAATCAGATACTTAGTAACTGGGCAAAACACACTTTTTAAAAAAAAATGTCAATAGAAACATTTTCTTGGAAACAGAGAAAATTAAACGAAAACAGTAGAACCCCAAAAAGATTACAGTACATTTTGAAATGATTAAAAAACATCCTTTTCAAATCTAAAATCCTGTGTGTTTGTTTGTGTGCATGGAGTTACCTTAAAAGTTTGCAGACCAACAGCATGGGTGACTTAGAATTATACTCGACCCCCCAAATTAAAGCATCCTGATAGGCATCAAATACAGTATCTACAAAAAGCCTGGAAAATTGAAACCGTTATATACAATTTTATAAACATCTTAAACACCAAAACATACATCTTTTACAAACCAGCCTGTTTGTAACAGGTAAATTTACAAGACAATCTCTCTGATACAGTGCTTCCATTTCCTGAACACATTTGTCACCTCCTGAAATGCAGTAGTATGGGCTCAGAAAGTTGTCAAGTAGTAGCAATTCTGGTATTTGTTTGCCGGAAAGGGTGCTACGGTCCATACCAATGGGTCCAAACACACTTTGAATGGACTGTATGATTCTCTAGTGCATCTTCAACACTGGAAGAGACTAATTATGGCCTTTGTGTAATATTACATACTTGTAATTATTGCTTTTCATTATTACGTAAGGAAAGAAAATCTTACTTTTCCTACCTCTTAGCCAACTGGCTAAGTATTAACTGATGTCAAACCCACAAATGGTGGCTTTAAACCCTAGAATTATGCAACCCGAAGCTCAAAGCCCTTGTGGATTTCCACCAGAAAAATGTGCAGTTGAATGTCACGGGACGAACACCAGCCTAAACACGTAACCGCCTTCTCACAGACCACACAAAATGAGAACTCTGAAGCAGCACCTCTTCAAATCTCCCTTTCTCATGGTTGGAAGTGAAAAATATAAAACATGCAAGCCTAATGACTTTTAGCAAAACCTGTGCACTGGGAGGGCAGAGGTGTGAAGAAACCAGACAGTTGACTGGGCAGCCCATGCAAAATGAACATCAGATCTTCCCGAATTCGTTCACAGGGAAGTGTTGTCTGGGTCTCACATGATTCCCTGTGGTTATCTCTCTTCTCAGTTCCCCTGACTTTGATGACGTAGACACAGCATTAGTGGGGGCAGTGGGTGGGGGGAGGGGACGGGGACAGGTTGGGAAGTAAGTAGGCGATGGCCAGTGGTGTCTATCTTTTTTACCTGCTTCTTTTTCAGGCTGTGCTAGTGATTCTCGACGGCAGTTCCAGATAAGTCCCAGGAATGCATCCTAAATGCCCGTTCCAGGTCTTCTGACTGATTGTCTGATAGGGTAAACCTCAAATGCATAGACTTGACCCGTTCTTCCCACTGTCTTCTACAACGGCATTTCACAAATGGGCAGGACATGAGTAAATGGAAAGCTGGCGTGGAATGGAACTCAGCAGCAAAATGCTTGCAGAAGAAAGCAAATGAACACCTACTCTATTCATCTTTTACAGCCTCATAGCGTCTGCTCGCTACATGACAAACATCAAAGGTCCAGTCCAGCTACTCTCAACCTCACAAGAATGTGTGTAATACAGGTAAAGTGCCCACAACAGGCTATGGAAAATGGCTCCTCGGAGGTAGCACATACGTGATCGAAAAAAAGGCAAGACACTTATTGGCTTACATATTTTCCATGTGGTTCATCATGGTGGAGGGGAGGAGGGGAGAGGAACAAACAGCAGGACTGGGAAGGGGAGGGAGAAAAAAAGAAAAACAGAACTGCATCCAGTAGGTAACACTGTAATCAAAGTCTCACTATAACTGATGCCTGGTCTGAGTTCCATTCTGTAATTAACATTCCATCCTCATTTTAGAAAACATTCATTTGGTAAAAGCAGCATTTTGATAAGTGTCCAAAGAAATGTGTGAATTCTGAAACTACATCCTTACTGGGGGTGGCTGCAAGGAAACTTGAGATCCTAAGGCTTCCAGAGAAATAATCTCCATGAATTCTCTTTGCTAGTATATTCCAAAGCAGGAGTACGGGATGTCGGATGGTCCAGCAGAAGCAGGCAGATACCACGTCCCCAGAGGTTTAGTGGTGAACAATGTTATATAGAAAGAATATTAGCCAAATGACGGGTTCTGGTCCCTGCATGAGCTTGGGCAAGTCTTTCCTCTCTCTGGTCATGTTTCCTCTTTAAAAAAAAATAAAAAGGGGAAGGGGATTAGACAAGCAGATTTTAAGGACCCTTCCAGCTCCTTGGATCAGTGGTGACCCCACCCAGTTCCATGCTGGCCGGACTGCAAGCCGTTCTGTAACCTACAGGGAAAACCAACTATCCCCCAAGTGAAAAGATACCATGTGCTTAAAGGTAATGAATCAAAACATAACACATGCTTGTCTGGTATACACTTAGCCACAGAGCTCTTCTGCAGAAAATCAGGGGAAGATATGCTGAAAAAAGAGGTATTTTATATAGGTCAGAGTGCAAAGAGTGGGCACAATTTTCTTGGGTGACTTCACAACGGCATTAGGGTTCTATTTATTCCTTCATTACCGTGCCAGTCAGCCATTCTCCCTGGAGGAGAAGCTGTGTAAGCAGTAGGGACTCATCGGCATTAATCTCGTTCTATTATTTCCTGGGGGCAAGAAATGAATTGTTGGTTTTACTTTGATGGTTTTTATGTCATTGCATTATTAAAAGTGTAGCAGTGATTCTATTCTAGACCATCATCATTTTCGCCGTGATTCTTGCAAATGTGCTTCTTACATAAGAAAAATACCAGAGACTCTATTCTCAAAAGCAGCCTCAGTGAAATTTCATTTATTCCAAGACCAGAGTGCGGATAATGCTTCCACGAGGAGGTCCGACCAAGAGACAGGGAGAGAAGAAAAGCTGGAAAATCTGTGAAGTGTATCCTGAACTCAGGAAGCTTGGAATGAAAAGGAATTTTTTTGCTTGTTTTTGCAACGAGCTTCAGAAACACTGACTCCCACAAAGCAGTGGACTAAACACAATGGAAGCAACTAAAAATATGTCTGTGCAGATGAGACACAGAACCAGGACAAAACAGTCGACACACCAATGCCATATGCCACCAGAAACCGTGGACACAGAGATTTGCTCATGAAGCAGATAGTGCAAATATGCATTTATTTACCATGGCTGCTGTGCACGCAGCCATAATCTGATTGAAGCAAAAGAGGAGAGTCACTCAACTTGGTAAGTTTCAGCCTCGAGGATGGGGTTACCGTATTTCTGCTGGAATGATTCTCCTGTCAATTTGGGAAACTCTTGGCCAAAGCCCACACGTCAGGAGAGAGGAGAACCCCGGGGAGGTGTAATTAAACATTACACATCTTTCAAATAAGAGTTTCATTCTGGAAAACTGTAACAAAATATTATTTCTTCAAAAACACAGTTTTAAGTCACTATAAATGGCAATACCAAAATAAAGTTAAGTGAACCGGAGCAAAATATGGCATTTGGTGTTTCTCTAACATTGTAGAGATCAGAGAAATTGGAAGGTCTGCCTCTGGCAGGATTTTTCAACATGGTCCTTATCCTAAAACCTTCACTTTCGCTTTCCTCAAGAGCAGCCTTATGGAGTGCAAGCACATAATTGTATATAGGCCCAGACACACACACTACTATAATCTATACACGAGAACTACTCTACTTTCTTCTTTTTGCAAACATAATTGCATTTATAGTGATGATGCTACCGATTTAAAATAACACTTGGATCTTATCTGCATTATCAAGAACTGTGATTATCCAGCTGAAAACTTTGAAAGTATATTTTTCCCTTTTCCCCCCTGAATTTGAATTCTGCTTACACCTCTAATTCCTCTCATTGTAGAGAACAGTGTATCAAAATACACTTTTTTTTTTCTTCCCTGATCCTCAGAACAAAAGCCAATTTCTGCAATAATATTAAAGTTGTAGCTATGGCCAGGAATATTTACTGGAAAACACAAAAACAGATAATCACATTCTTTCTAATGTTGGAACAATGTTAACCTTCTCCCCGACCCCCAAAATCAAGCCCAAGTATCCTCACATTCCTTCCATTGATACCTTTCTCAAAGATCATAAAGCCCAGCTATATTATATGGGATGCTTAACACAAACAAACAAAAATAACTAAGCATACAAACCATGTTACCCAAACTTAATTTTATAGCTGAAAACTGGACAGCTTATTAAAAAAAAATAGAGTTGACTTTAAAGGCTTCAGCCCATTTTCTTGTGTTTTTTTTTTTTTTTTTTAATAATATGTGTTTCTCTTTTCTTTCCCCTAAGAGACTAACTTTTCCAACCATCATAACTACTGTTTTCATCCCCTCCCCCCATTGGCTCAAAATGACATGCAGCAATGCGTCTTTGCTCGTTGCCAGTACTAATACTGCCCGCTCTGCTGCTGTAACCCTTCCCGGGTCCCAATACTGCACAAAGCCATATGAGATGGGCTGTATAACCCAGCAGGTGGTTTATTCCCCCTGTAGAAACTCGGTGCCCGTGCTTGGTCGTGAACGCAGGTACCTACTGCAAGGCTATCTGTCCGCGCTAAGAAACTCTCGGAGCCTTTTCTTTTCACCCAGCTGGACAGGAGCTTGCCCGTGACCACGGGACTCGTGAAGAAGTTCCCCGGGGGCAAGTCCCTGTTTCCGTCCGGCTGCTGGCCGTGCAGACCCGAGCCCCACCTCCTTCCCGCGGTTTGGCCCCGGACTGCGCCGAGGGCCCTGGGCAGGCACGCTGTCTACACTTGGGTCTGGTGCTGAGTCTCGAGGAAGGGAATGTGCAGGCTGGCGAGGCTGAGCTCTCCCACGCTTTCGTAGTCACTCACGGCGGCTTCGGAGTCGTCAAAGCCGCAGCCGGCCGACACATCCGAGGACGAGGTGCCTCTGGAATTGTGCAAGGATAGAGACGCGCTGTCGGCGGGGCCTGCCGTCTCCGCGCCCTGGTTCACGCCCACCGCAAAAGTACTAAATTCACAGGCGGCAGGTGGGCCCGCCAAATCCGTGTCGTTCGGGAATGGGTGGGGAGGGAGGTACTGGCTGGGGTGGAACTGGGGCCTCCTCCTGCAGTCGGGGCTCAGTGTGCTGGCCAGTGACACAGGCTGGGAGGGCGGCAGGGCCTCATACTGGTCTGCGAAGTCCTCAGGCAGGGGCGGGGGCAGCTGGTCCTGGTTCAGGAACTCCTCCTCGTGCGGGGGAGGGTACTCGCTGTCGATGTCATAGCCGCCCAGGTAGTAATCGCTCTCTAGCTCCCGCGTGCTGCCTTGCTGGGCCGACCCTCCCTCCTGGTTCTCATAGTTGGGCACTTCTTCTATGTCCGACAGGCGGGCCCCGGGCATCCAGTCGGAGGTGTCCCAGTGATAGGCTGTGGGAAAAAAGTCGTGACAGTCAATTTCCTCCAGACCTGAGCTGGGACAGGGCTCGGAAAAGGAACGGACGCAGGGAGCTGACATGCAATTAACATCCCAGAGATGCTAAGACTCCAGGGTCACGTGCATGCTCCTTCTAGGGCTCTATCAGGGACCCGCCATGCTCCGGCTTCCTAGACAGTGAGGCCATGGCGACTCAGAGAGAGGGTGCCTGGTGCCACAAGGGATGGCCTCCCAGGGCATGTAGAGTAAACCCGGTTCCCGCACCCCCTCCCTGCTAGCTTCTCTTCCTTTCTATATGCTAAATGTAGAGCAAGGCTGGCAGCATGCTCCCGGAGAGAGGAGGGGTGTGGGCCCTACTGCGGTCCCCGGAAGACAGGGAGATGTGCTGCAAATGGATGAAGGACACACACGGTGGGGAGGGCAGGGGAGGGATGCTGGTTGGACTCTTGCTTCCAATGCCAAGCACACAAGACACCTGGAACATGCAAAATGCAGATCAAAGAACCCCCGGAAAGGACGGAGGCAGAGGGACGGGGAAGAACGAACTCAGCAATTCAAAACGTGGAAGTGAAATGTTATGCTGGGGTCGTGGCAGAGTCACCTCGGTTGTACTTCTGTCCTTGGTCCATGATAGACACTGTTCAAATACAAAGCGAGAGGTAAACCCAATAATCTGGGCCAAATGAAGAGGGTAAAACAGAACATTTCAGATGACTTAAAAACATGCTCCTGTTTCTCCTCCTTGTTCTTGGGGGAATAAAAAGGTAAACCACACCTGTTCCCACCCCTAACTGTACTAAGTCACTAATAAAAGTTACCTGATTGAAATCAATCCCCATAAGATTACAGCTTGGAATGCTTTCTTAAGTATTTCCAGCTTATAATAGAAGCTCAGTACATACATGTTGAATGTAAGAACGAGTTTCTTAGTAATATGGATTCCAACTGATTTGGTACTCTTAGAAGGGCTTTTATAAAAAAGAGTACCTCATCTATTTAACAACTTACAAACTAGATTTTTTTTTTTCCTCCAGAATGGTAAAATTCACTCCAACCCCTAGAGAAACAACCAGTGTCCCCCGAGGTTGCCGACTGATTAAAAGCAACCCTGGATCAATGCAACAAGGAAGCCGAATTTCCAAAATGATAACTCTTTTACACGAGAGGCTATGGAAGAAAAAAGTAAATACCTTCATTCTCTATAGTGTCAACTACATTGTTGACAAGCTGAATGACAGTCACAATGGACGCTTGTGGCCAGGAAAAGCAGACAGAGGGGAAGGGAAGGACAGTTTCCGGTTAGTCACGTATTTCGGATAGAAGAGAACTTCTCTTCAAGACAATGGCAACATCAAAGGCACAGCAGGCAAACATCCAAAGCCTCCCCAGTCTGCCCATTAGGCAGTGTTTTGGTGCTCGCTTTTATCTGGGGGTCCCGGGGATCCTCAGAATGGAAGAGCCACGGCAGCAAATCTGGATCCGGTCCTCGGAAAGGCACGGTCGACAGGAAGGGCTGTATCATAAATTCACACCTCATGGCCCAATGAAATCAATCTAGGAAGGCAGTGGCTCATCAAGTTCAAGCTAATTTCTCATTAATAACTCCCAAAGGCTCTCAGGGGAAGACCTCGCTGTTCCCATGGATAATTATTTGTCAGTCAGCCATGCCGCTCTAAACCAAATGCCAGAGATGGAGGATCAGCTCTGCAGGATGGATGGTGTCAGGCTCCCATGATGGCACGGAGAGCCTAGAGCAAACCCAAGGCCCAGCGTCTTCCGGTAAAGCACAGACGGAAGTCAGCGTCTGGCCTCTGAAATCGTTAGACTCTGGGAAGGAGAATTCTGTGCTCCATATGGGGTTGCTTTCGCACCCGATACCAGCAGGTTGCCAGAGAGGCAATCAGGCTTAAAATTCAGTTGCTGGAAATTCCTACTACCACTCACTTTCATCAGGAATGATCCAGAAGGTTGAGCATGAAGGGTCAAATGCGTGAGCTTAAGGGCGCACAGAGCAGAGCCCGTGAGAACTGTCAGCCAGGTAGCATCACGAGAACTCTGGCCAAAGTGGAAGATATCTGTTCTCGGCTGCTTCTATACAAAATGCCAAGCAGCACCAGCTTTTCTTTGGTTGGAGACAAGGGAAGGAGTAAGCATCAAGGCAAACAGATCTGGAGGTATGACCCTGACCTTCTGGGAATGGTCGGAAGAAAGCCACTGTTACGTGGTTTGTTACCTCAGCAGTCAGATACAAGCAGGCTCTGTACCTCTCTGGAATGCTGGGTATCGGGGTAGAAGAGATTGGGGGACAAGGGTCGTGAAAATAGACTATTTTACTTCCGTAATTGTATCTATGGCCTTGGAGCTCCCCTTTTCCTCTATTTACCTGGGGTGCAAAGACTACATCTTTTCCTTTTTTACTTCTGGGCTCAAAATACTCAGCACACGGTTCAGCACGTAGGAGAAACGTGGCATGCATATGGGTTGTGTGATTACGTTAATTGATACATATTCAATTTTTGCCAATGGCTTATTGGGAGGGAAATGAAATAAGGTACTGACTAAGAGAATGTTGTCTCTGGGGATGACTACTGGAAATTAGTCTTAATTCACTCCATATAGTAAATTCTCACTGTTTTGTGACCATTTCTGCCACACCTCCTGGCCTGGGGAGACCAACCCATCCTCCAGAGCAGGTTCCTGAGCTCAGAAAACCCAGTCCAGCATTAGGACCCTCTCCATAAAGATAAGTTCACAAGGGTTGATGGCAGCTTTGGAGTGTCAGTGAGGCCCAGGAACCATATGGAATGTCCATTTTTCTAAGGAGCTGATTGACAGTCACAGTTTTCATAGAGACTCCAAAGGCCCATGACCTCGGTTGCTGATAAGGGGACTTTAGCTGAATGACAACGCCACTTCTAGGGGAAGGAGGTTCTATGGGAAGGAGGTCTTACCGCTAAAGGAATTTCTAATGATGCAGGGAGGTTGAATACACAGTGAAGGGTGACCAGATCACCAGTTGTAAAATAAAAAAAAAAAATAATAATAAATAAATAAATAAATAAATAAATAAATCAATCACAGTTTTCTAGAGAGGATCATTTGGGATGAGGTGGTTCCAGCAGGAAAAAATCAAAGCGGATGCATTCTTGGAGGTCACGGAACTTGGTCCACCTCTGACAAGGATCCCAGGCCTACCCATAGCATGTGCTCCTGCCGTGATGACACCCCACAACGGGACCAGCCCAAAAAGCTGGTGAACATGCTCTGAAGTCCATGATCAGGCCCAGAAACAGAACTGGTCACCGTACCCTCCTCCCTACCCACTGTCAGCACAGGGGGCAAAGCCACAGGGGAACACAGCTACTACCGAGGGCTTACCATTGTCGTCGCCAGAATCCGACTGGAAGGAGCTCAGGGACTGAACCTCAGAGTTGCTGCCTTTATTGCTGCCTGCGAAGCAGGTCACTTCTCCGGGATCATCGACCCCTTTGTCTTTGCGGACAGCCAGAGAGAAAGCAGAAATGACACCGGTTACCTTGTGCAGATGTCTAGCCCGCCTGCCCCCAAAGTTCACTTCTCCGAGCTCTTTCATTTGCTTCGAGAAAATAATTTAGCTCCACAATAGAAAATTGATTGTGCCACTGGGGGCAAAGGTCTGTCAATCAAGTGATTTACGTTATGGATTCGAAACCCTTAACCTGTGGTAAACGAGCTTCCAGATCGCTGACAGCCAAAAGGAACTGTTGCCTCCTCAAAGCAAGGTGACTAAGTGAAGAGTGAAGGCAGGATGAAGCGGCCGGGCTGCTTTTTGCCATTCAGAGTTAATTTAAATCATTTACATGAACCGACATGGTGTCAACACCAGGTTAAACGAGATTACTTATAAAATAAGGGTATAAATATTTTATAGGTAAGAATGCCATTACATTCATCCCAACTTTCATCTCTGGGGAGCGAGTGGAGTGCTCTGTCTTGCCTCCTAGAGGGCAGCGTCACACCACTTTTGGGAACAACGGTGTTTGGAATCTGTGCGGTAAGAGGGCAGTCATCGGTGTGGACCTGTTCTCATCTGCCCACTTCCCCCTTTTGGCTATCCAGAGACAGCCTGAACAACACACACACACACACACACACACACACACACACACACTCTCACTCACTCTATAGGGCTATTTTCTTATTTGATGGACTAAAGAAAGCAATAAAAACAAGCCATATCTTGAAGTTGTCAAGTAAAAAAATGAATTAGTTGCCTAGATATTGTCTTGCCAGCTAACTCTGCCTTGCTTAACAAAGAAGGAAATCTACTCAATAAAAACATAACAATACTTTGGGGGGAAATGTGAGTTTTGGCCTGAGGTAAATTCTGGAAATAAAGCTGTCACATTAGGAAGCGAGTAGAGGAGAAGGATCACCAGGAGAAGCTTCAAATCATCACGAAACATGATGGGAAGAAGAGACAGGGACTTGTGATTAAGGGAGCAGTTGTTCCCTTTGTGACGGTGGAAATCACTGTTTCCTTCACAAAGGGTGAGGTTAATATTGGGTACTGAGACTCCACATCCGCTGTCAGATGCCGAAAGCACAGAGGGACCAGGAGCTGGATAAACAATTGATCTAAGCGGAGAGAGACGCCTGAGAGGAGTTCACCTCCCAACAGCCATGCTGCCCCAAATACCAAGATATGTCTCAGAAAAGCAGCGGGTAATGGCCGGGCTTAGCGCCAAACACCAGGAAGGGAACAACAAATGATCCATCCAGGTGAAGGCCGTGCATAAAACTCCTTCCTCCACCTCATTTATTCCACCCTCTCTTTTTTCATTGTTAAATGAAAAACAGCCTTTCCAAGAGCTGGTGGACTGGCAAGGCTTTAGTGAAGTCATTTGACAGGGAATGCATTTATAGTGAAAATCCAAGGGCAACAACTTACAAGAGTGTCTACAGGAAGACAGACTCCGCAGATAGTGTGGTTGGGTGGCCCCAGAAAAGAACCTCTTCTGTCATCAGGGGTCCTCTCCCAGTTTATCCCTCTCCCTCCTGCTAAAGCTCCCAATAGGAGTGTTGGTAAGAGCACAGGCTGTGGACCGTGATGGGCCTGGTCCTAGTGCTCATCACTCCTTCTACTAGCTATTTGTTCTTAAGCTGCTATCTCACCCAACTACTCCTTCAATTGGGTGCCCACATGGGCCTCTGGGAGGATTTAAGAACATCCAACATATGGCAAACCTGCTGCTTCCATTGTCTCCCCAAAGCTCTTTGTCCTTAATGTTTACATTCTGGATTCTCTCTTGACGACCCACTGAAACACCCTTCAGATGACCAAAGATCTTCTAGGTGTCAAGCACACTGCTGTTGTTGTTTTTTTCTTAAGCCTGTGCCCTTCTGAACCATTTTACAGTACTCAACCCCACTAACCTTATCGACAGTCTTGGCTTCTGCACAGCTGGCATGTCCTCTGTCCCTGCTCTCTTTGTTGGCAACTGTTTGCCTCCCTTCTTGGCCTCTGCCTTCTGCCCACCTCCCACATGTGGGCATCTCCAAGTTCTTTTGGAGGTCCAGTCTGGCCATCTTTATTCTCGCTCCCTCGGTGAGCTCATCACTGCCCCCTTCCCCAAGATTTAACCATTGTGCATCCAGATGATGTCCAAACTTTCATCTCTAGCCTCCTCTTTCTCCTGAACAAGAGAACCTGTCAGGTAATCTTCATGTGCCCCCTACCCTCATCAAGCTGCTTCCTGTTTCTGGAAGGCCCTCTCCAATAGTTTCTGACCAAGATCTAACTTATGCTTGAAGACACAGCAGGAATTCCCCCTTTCTCCCCAAAGATGCCCTTCACCTCCTCTGCTCATAGGCTCTCCAGCGTCACTTGAAAACAGTGTTCCCCCAACCCTCTACCCCAACATGTATCATAGTACTAAAACCCCAGCCTTTGGAAACTCCTGCTACAAGGGCAAATCTGCTGCTGAAATATAAAGCCATATGGTCTGATGAAAAGCCACAGGTTATAATAGAGCTTGCCTTAGCTTCATCCTCACCATATTAGGACAGGGAAATCAAGCACCATTGCTCAATTAGATGTTCATTAGCTGTTCATGGAAGATAGCTAACTAGTCTCTGCTTTCCCTCCTCTTTGGTCCTTTTTAGTCTGTTCTCCATGGGTCAGTCAGGGCCATCTTTCAAAAATGTAAATTGGATCATGCTGCTTCCCTGCTTAAAAACTTGCACTCGTGTTTCCATTAAAATGCATTCACTTTTCCTTGTTGCTCACCAATCTCCAACTACCTTGACCTCCTTTCTGTTCTTCAGCATGTCAAGGCCTTTCCCACCACAGAGCATTTGCACCTATGGCTCTCTGGCTAGAATATTGCCCCATGAGGCCTGAAGGAGAGGGAAATACCACTACCTGGACTGAACTTTTCCTACCTTGAGGTTCACCCTCTTATTTCATGGATGCTGCATTCCAGCCAAACAGAATGTCTGGTCTTCCAGTTGTGTGGGTCCCTCTGCCTTTCCCCAGACATTTAATCCACCATGGTCCAACTCAGTTTTCTCTCTGCTCCTCTCAAGTCTTCACCTTAAGTCTAGAAATACTCTCTTCTTCTGACCTTCTGGAACACGTTTTCTGTATATCACTTCTGTCACCACACTGCTTGCATTACACCAATGCCATGCTAGTGTGAGTATAGCATGGGTTTTTAGAGCTGGCGGCTCTGGATTGGCCCACCAGTTCTGCTGCCTCTTCCTAGCTCTGTGGCCTTGGACACCTGATGCATGCTCCCAGAGCCTCACTTTCCCCATCTGTCAAAGAGGGTTAAGAACCAGAGCGATTTTTCTGGACACTCAGTGCCAGAACATGTCACAGGGAGTGCCCTGCCCAGGCGGGTTCTCTCTCCTTTACCCGATTTCCTTCCCCAGTGCCAGGCACACCACAGCTCCCAGCGAAAGTAAAGGCACAAGCAGACCCACGAAGGCCTCCTACTCACTGTCGGTTCCTGCGTCCCAGCCATTCTTCCGGATGGAATCGCAGTCCGAGCGGCAGGGCGACACAGCAGGCAGGTTGGGAGCCACGCTGCACACGACTACACCACGCCTGGCCGTCAGGATGCGCGGGGACTCCGGGTGGAACGTGGTCATCTCCTGGTGCTCGCCCCCCAGCCCGTCCACGATCTTATCCAGGTTGCTCCTGGAGTCGCTCTGGAAGCACGGCGTGTAGGCCATGGGGCGCACGGGCACCTGCGGGGGCCCCACCTCCTGGTAGACGTTGCGGCCGTCCCCGCTGCCGCGCAGGTTCCGGAACGGGATGCCGTTGCTCTTGTTGAGCAGGGCGGCCGTGGCGGGGTCCTGCACCAGCGTGATGTTGTTGCGCGAGTAGTTCTTGCGGAAGACCTTCTTGCGGAAGACGATGAAGAGGATGACCAGGATGAAGATGACGAAGAGGACCACGGCGATGCCGATGAGCTCCTCCTTGCCCACGTACGAGTGGCCGGCCTGGATGTTGGGCACGACCACGGGCCGCAGCCCGCAGTACTGGCCCACGTAGCCTGGCGTGCAGTTGCATACGAAGGAGCCGAACACGTTGACGCAGGAGCCCCCGTTCTCACACTCCTCCCGCTCGCACTCGTTGACGTCCTCCTCGCACCTTCGGGACAAAACACAAAACCCCTCTCAGACAGCGGGCCACGCAGCACTGTTCACGGCGGCCTTCTTTACAAAGAAGTACAGCGCCCCAAAGTCATGTGAAGCGAGACAAAGATAGAGTGATGGTGTGCGTGTGTGCGTGTGTGTGTTGGCGGGGGAGGGAGGTGGTGGGCACCGCAGCAGGTGGCCCGAGTTGTCAGGGTGAGTTAAGGTACTTCTCCCAACCAACCGGATCTCTCCCAGATAGTCCGACCCCCTCCAGACGACAGTAGGGCAAAAGACGTCGGGAGGGAAGAGGAGAAAGAACAGATGTTGTTGGAGAGGGACTGGTCTCCAAATCCTCGGGGCCGGATGCACTTCAGGGTTTAAATTTTTGCAATTTGAGAAATGTCATGCAGTACATGTCTTTCCCGTTCTGTAACACACCCACCCCACTACTGGAACTGGTGCTGCCATAGGACCCCAGAATGAAACTATACCATGCCTCTATGACAAAATATACGGACATTCACACTAAATCAGAGAAATAAAGACTAGAGATAGTCTTGGAGCAGTTTTGGCCGGTTTTGCCACCAAATTGGTTTGCCACTAACTTATCCTAAACCCTTTTAGTTCCCTGAGCTGCTAAGATTGAACTGCAGAGGAAAAGCAATGAACCTGTATAACTTATACAGGCTTTCCCAAGAGGAAGAAATCCTTGGTTCAACAGTTCCGGTAATTTTAGGTCCCTCTGGGAACTGTGTGTGTGTGTGTAGGGTGCATAACAGAGAGAGTGGACAGGTGGAGGGCTAAAGATCTATATATCTTACAGATTCTGTGCTTACCATAAAGGTTAGTACTAATGCAGATGACCAGGAAAAAAGTGATTAAAGCATTCTAAAGAAAAATAATTAAATCAACTTTATTCTTTTTAAAGCAATCCGTGACTCCCATTGAGTATAATTATAAGGCAAACATTTCAGTCCTTTTCTTTGTTAGTTTAACATTACATGAGAACATAGACCTTACTCCTTCACTTTTCTTTTCACTTCAGCAATTGTTTTGGTGTGTTCTTTTAAAAGGTGTGATCATTTATATCTTTGGTAATCCACCACCTTTTAAAATGTAGTCAAACGTTCCTAATTTGAACAGATTGAGGCCAGGTCATTTGGAAATTAGAATCACAGAGTATTTAAAAATAAATGTAGCTTTATTACTTTAAATTACATCCAACCATTCAAAGTCCTCTAAGTATTTCCTGGTAAAGTCCTCGGGAGATTTGCTTTAATGAATACATAAGACTGATCTGTAATTAGAATATCACTTGCTTGAGATTACATATATATACTTCTCAAATGATCAAGGATGGTTGGAAGTGGCGTTTTACTAAGAGCTTAAAACATTCCCTTTCCATTTGGCTCACACCTTAATTTCCCTCATTTCTTGGGGGAGAAAGAGTTTGCAAAGGAAAGGTAGGCTCTAGTTTCTCAGAATGATCATAAAACATTAGGTGGTAGAGTCCAGTTAATGAGTTCTGGGGAAATGGGTAGTATGTCTGTCTCCGAATTATACTGGAAATATAAGAGGTCATAGATGATTTTCTTTAAAAGAACTGTTTTCCTAACTACAGAACACATAGTAATTATGTAAAAATTTGCAAATAGAGACGCATAAAGTTAAAAAAGTATAAATTACTAACAACCCCATTACCCAGAGATAATCCTTGTTAACAGTTATATCATTTGTAAGCCCTCTTTTTGTAAAGATATTAACCTTATGCCTGTCCTACTAGTGGTAGGTAAGTCTTTTATCCCCTCTAATTGTTTACTGTTTGGCTTTCTTAGCAATAGGAAGCAGAGGAGAGGAAGGCTTGTTTGCACAATCTCACTTACGTGACTCCAGTGAGCCCAGCTTTGCAATTGCAGATGAAAGTGTTCCCTATGGGGTCGCAGGAGCCTCCGTTCTGGCAGGGGTTTGGGAAGCAAGCTGTGATCTCCGACTCACAGTTTCTTCCGGTGAACTGTGAGAGACAGGTACACTGATAGCCTAGAGAGACAGAGGTCCTCATGAGCCACAGTGCCATTGGCAATGGTTGGAGTGCAGGGACTTGGCCATCACTCCCCTTCCCGACTCCTCCTTAACCAAATCTTCGGTGGGGCCCAGATTCCAAAGTTGATTATCGTATTGGTTATTTTGAACTTGGGACTCATTTGCCACAAAAATGCCAAGTAACGCTTTGGATCCCCCACTAGTCCACAAAAACACACCTAATTAACCACAGGCCTAAATGAGAGTGAGACTGGTAAGAGACACCCAAGGAACAGACTCGGAAGAGCAGAGGCCAAGATGGGGAGAAGATGCTTTCCCCAGCACACTCCTTCATAAAAGGCAGGATGCTTCCAGGGATAAGCACTTTACCCAAGATACCATGCAAGCTCCTTTCCTGAACCCCTCTCCCAACCCCATGCCCCTTCTCTGCTTAGCCAAGAACCGCAATTCCCACCTGGAGAGGAGGTGAGGGGAGGACAGGTAACATGCGGATATATATTGACTCAAATGAGCCTCAGTTTCACAGATGCACGGGGAAATGGAAGAATCCCAGCCTGTATTTGGTCCCTGATTTTCACATCTTTGTCCACTTTCTCTATTTCTACTCATGAACCCATCAGGAGGAAATGGGGGGTAGCATCCTTACCACCAGGAATATTAAGTGTCAGAGAAGGTAAGATTCTAAGAGGACAGTGGCATTATTTACCTCTCAGAGATGGAAGGGATGAATAATTAGTAAGGGTTTTCTTTTGCTTACTTAAAAAAAATTAAAATTCCTTTTCCTATTAAAGGTATAATGCACATAGTAAAGAGTCCGATGGTTCTCTAAGTCCCACTTAGTACAACAGCAGCCCTACATGCCATTGAACAGGAAAGCTGACATTTGAACAACATGGGTTTGAACTGCCTCTGCTCACTTATGCATGAACTTTTTACAGTTCGGTACTGTAAATGTATTTTCTCTTCCCTATGATTTCCTTAATAACATTTTCTTTTATCTAGCTTACTCTATTGGGCGAATACAGTATATAATATGTAGAGCATACATGATATGTTTTTATTGGCTATTATGTATTTGGTAAGTCCTCATGTCAATAGTGGGCTATATTCAGAGGTTAAGTTTTGGGGAGTCAAAAGGTATACAGAGATTTTGGCTGTGCAGGGGATCGGCGTCCCTAACTCTCATGTGGTTCAAGGGCCAGCTGTACTTACTGCTAATTCAACACCGAACTCTTCATGAACTAGTTCTCTCTGGGTGTTGCTGTTTGGCCTGGTGTTCTGTATTTTTATACGCTGGAGAAATCTTCCCTCTGAGGCCTTCTGACTGACAGCCTCTGAGGCTGCTGTCCCTGGGATCGCCCTCTCAGCTCTCCTGGGCTGGATCTAGTGTTTTTGGTATCCCTTATCTTCCTAATTTCTTGGCTTACTCTCTATTTCCTTAGGATCCATCCTACGGTAGCTGAGAAAGGGTTTGCAGGTCAATGTTGTGAGACCGTGCATAGCTGGATATGTCTTTACTTCACCCTTACCCCTCTTTGGTAGGCTGTGCCCAGAATTCTGAACAATTCCTTCCATGTGGCCTTCGAGAAATCCAAGGCCTTTTGGTCCCTGAAGTTTGTACGGGACCTGGTTTCTTTTCCTCTACAGCAACATGGAGGATCTACTCTTGGCCCCCAATTTTCTGAGATTTCACCATGATTTTCTGTAGTGTGGGTTTATTTCAATTGGCCCTGGGGACTCTGGAAATTCTTGTCCTTTAACTTCTTCAGAAAATTTAATTATTTCATTGATGATTTCCATTCCTTTGTTTCCCCTCTTCCGTCTTTATGGAAGTTTTATGATTTGGATCTCAGATCTCCTGGACCTTCCTCTAATTATTTTTCTTATATTACATCTCCATGGGGTTTTTTTTCTGTGCTTTCTGAGATTCTCATCATCTGAAACTTTTACTGAGATTTTCATTTATGTTGTCATTTTCCAGGAGCTCTTTTTTTGTTCACTAAGGTTTCCTGTGTGTGTGTGTTTAAACAATAGCACCATAGCATCCTGCTCATATTTTGTGGTTACAATATCTTATCTCTAGAGGTTATTAATATTTTTATGAAGTTTTCTCCCTGCATAGTTTTGTCCAGGTTGTTTTTTCTCTGTTTCTTTGCTTTGGTCTCTGCAATGGTGAATTTCATGTGTCAGTGGGACCAGGGTATGGTGTCCAACTGTTGGACAAACACCAGTCCAGGTGATGGTGTGAGGGTATCTGTGGATATGATTAATACTTACAATTAACTGACTTGAAGCAAAGCTGATTACGCTCCATGATATGGGCTAGACCTCATTCATTCATTTGACTGCTTTAAGACGGAGGAATTCTGCAGCAACAGAAATTTTGCCTGAGTTTCTAGCCTGCTGGACTGCCCTATAATTTCAAATTCAAGACTACAAAATCAATTCTTCCCTGAATTTCCAGCCTCTTGGCCTACCCCATAAATCGGTGATTTGCCAGCCCCACAATTGTATGAGTCAATTCCTTAAAACCTATCTATCTGTCTATCTATCATCTATCTAACCATCCTATTGGTTCTGCTTCTCTGGAGAAGCTTACTACATTCTTTATCTTCCAAATTAGAGGATTTCCTACCTTGTCTGGCAATCCCTCCTAATCAGCTCAGATCGCAGAGTGGGACAGCAGGAAATTAGAAATCTGATGGGAAGCTCTGAGCACATGAGTGGGGTTTGTCAACTGTGATACTGTGATACTGTTTCAGTACCACTGGGTTGGTAAATTTCCCCACTTATGACCCTTATCACTTGCCCAGAGGGAGAGTGAAGGCCTGGTTTCTAACATTCGGAGGACTGGATGGTGGGAGAGGAGGGATGGCTGTGGGTCTCAGCATCCAATGAACACATGAGATTCACTTCTACCCACCCCAGTTCTGACCAAGTGCAGGGCAGACCCAGGCCCTCCCTGCACCCTGTCTTCTCACCCCTGCAATCCACCATCACCTTCAGGCTCTGCCAGGGCATGGAGGGGCGTGATCACCTGGCTGCATAGAGAGAAGGCGGGAATCTAGGTTTCTGACTGCCTCTCAAACAGGTTTTTGACCAATTCTTATTTTCAGCACTTCTCCCCATCTCTTACCTTTCTAGAAGTGATTAATGCCTCCCATTCCTGAGCCTTTTGGGGATTCAGTTCCCAGACTCCCTTCTGCTGGTCAACATTTCAGCCTCTCGAAGCTTTACTTCTCTCTTCCTTACCACCTGTCCCTTTGCCTCCCACCTTCACCCTTGGTTGATGCTGTCTCCTTTTCAAGTCCCCTTACTCCTCAGGGCTTCTGGCTTATGAAAATGCTCTTACTCATGTGGTGGTGGGATTGTGATGGAGAGCGCCACATTACCTGGAAGTGACCAATGAGACTTTCCTCATTTCTAAGATCTTTTGTAAATGCTATAAATAACCATTCTCACTCTTAGCTGAAGGGTTCTTGGGCTAATCTCTGTTCCCCGGTGACTGAGGTTGAGATTTTATAGATTGATTTTTTAAAGTTTATTTATTGATTGATTGATTGATTTTAGTAATCTCTACACCAAACAGGGGGCTCAAACTCATGATCTCGGAGATCAAGAGTCACATGGTCTTCCTGCTGAGCCAGCCAGGTGCTCCTATAGATTGATTTCTATAGGTATAACATAGTTAAAAATCTCTGGATTGAAATAGTATGTATGCTCGTTTATGTGTACTCAACCCACAATACAGAGATCTCTCACATTTAGGGGGAACTTATGACTGTCTGGGTGTTCCTACATTCCGAGAAAGACTTGCCTTTGGGAGGCAGGTGCAGGAGGCAAGAGAGAACTCTTTACATTCACAAAAGGAGGGGGCCGTGTGGTCCCAGCCTCCCCGGTACCAAGAAGCACAAAGGGCCAGAGACTGAGGCTCCGACAGAGACACGGTGCTCTTGAATGCAACAACAGTGAAACACCAGGGAACTAACTCTTAAGGAAAGAACGTTGTTGATGCAAACTGTGTCCAAAGGCAGTCGACCTGATGTCTGCAGACAGGGTGCATGAGTCTGAGGTATGCTTGCTTTAAGTTATGCTGACTGGAATTTTTTTTTTTTTTTCCAATTTGGGAAGCTGCTCGCCCTAATGGAGTCAAATGCGATTGATGAAAACAGTTAGAACTGGGAAAAATGTATCTTTGTGTCACCTGGCTAGTCCTTGGCCAGAAAAGCATGCCATTTAGAGGTAGAGTAACCTGTGAGGATGAATTAGACTCCCTTCTTGATTAAAGGAAGGGACGCCACAACCACAGGAGAGAACTTAAAGGAACATCAGTGATGAGGTGGGAGGGAAGCCAAAGGAGCAATCTAAGGCAAGGTGGGTTGGGGTGGGTAAAACTCCCCCCTCTCCAGCTCCTACTGGCAAGCTTCCTACAATTCCCCAAATAAAGCCACAGCAGAAGACGTTGGGGGGAAGGGAGGCACAAGGAAGTCCTGTCTGGAAATAAGGGACATTTGAATTACTATCATGGAAACTGGATTCTAACTAAGGTCATGGGTTTGATTTCTTTGATTTGATGTCTCGGTGCCTTGGAAAATCAGAATTTAAAATGAGGCAATACCTCTAGTGCACTATTTTACTCCCACACATTCCCTTCTGCATTTTGTCATTTTCATTATCTTTTGTGGGCTAGCTAGTGTTACTGGATGCGGCTGCCAGGCTGACTGATTAACCTATTCACTGACTGAGTGCCTAAGCCACAGGCAATGGTTGGCTGGCGCCTGCTCACAGCGTTGTGAGAACCGACTGCTAAATGGTCAGGAATTTGGCAGGCCCGTTGTCATACCCTTGGTAACCTGACGTGAGTCACGGTGGGAGTATCTACATTACAGAAATCAACAAACACTATCAACTAGGGCTTTGATTTCTAGAGAGCTGGTTCCCAGCACACCCTGCAAGAGGGACTAAGGCGGGCACTGGGGATATAAAGATAAAAATAC